TGCGGCTGTACGTAAAGAGTTTGAAATGTTTTCAGGATTTCAAAATGTCAAAAGACAAGCCAGGAGCAGATGCAGTATAACAGCATGTTATTAAAATATAAATATCTTTTTATTCGCACTTATATTATATATGTACACACATATTTACCAATGAAATCTAGTCCGAATTATATGAACATACATTTGTATATGTCTTCCTTAAAAGAATGTAATATGTACAAAAACCGAAATACATAGTTATTGTAATAGGGAAATATGTACATATTTATAATAGGARCTTTTTTGGAATACTTATTTCATTCTATTTAAATAAAATAATTGCAATTTCTTTAAAAATATTGAGATTAACAAAACTAATACAATCGATTCTGCATTGTGATGTTTGCTTTCAGACATCGTAAATTTGTGAGGTAATTGTGAGCATTTGTGCTTTTGAAATTACCTCACCAGATGGAAAACCTCTCAACTCAAACATCTCACAATAAGGAGGGTGATGATTTTTGTGAAGGCGCGAGTATAGAGCTAATGGAGAAAAAAGTTACCGCGTGTAAAGCATTATACTCTGGAAGGTGTTGTAAAGGAACATTGCTGAATTAATATAATACAATAATATGGCAATACTGTTGAGAATAAGTATGCACTGGCCGGCACCTGCCTTAATGTTGTGATGTGACGTGGAGAGTATACAGATTATAAGTTTTATAGTCCTGCTGCGTTATATTTAATTATAAAATAATGGCGACAATGGTCCGGCAATGCAATTTGGGTCAACGCCTAAGTAAAATTGCGTTGATAATACTATTGTGTGTTATTATGTTCTCACTACCATCACTTAGTTTTGGCCATAGTGATAATCCAAGCTTCAAGTATTCAAGAGAGGCGAATGAAAATTTCGATCCAAAAAAGGTTCCTGCTACAGTGCACGATCATCACGTTCATCACCACCACAATGACCATCATCATCCCGATTCACATGATCACGCTCACGATCATGAAGATGACCACCACCTTAGTGAAAATCATAAACATGAGCATCATGCGGAGAARGCTAAAGCTCCACAAGGTGGGTATTTTTGTCACGTATATTTATAGTATTTGAAAACTTTTTATATTTTAGATATGACAAGCATTTGGATACACTCTATTGGGTCCACATTGCTCATTAGCGCTGCGCCATTTGTGTTGCTATATGCCATTCGCTTAGACAATAGTGAAGCAATGAAGCCTCGTCTTAAAATTATATTAGCATTTGCATCTGGTGGTTTATTGGGAGATGCTTTTCTACATCTTATCCCACATTCAACTCATCCACATAGTCATGATGAGCATCACTCTCGTGAAGAAGCTCATAGTCACAGTCACGGTCATGACCATGAACATGGGCATGATATGAGGGTTGGCCTATGGGTGTTGGGTGGAATTATTGCTTTCCTTGCAGTTGAGAAGTTAGTAAGGCTCTTAAAAGGTGATGAGCATGGACACAGTCATGGTCATTCACAACCAAAAGAAACAAATGCGGAATCATCAAAAAAATCTGATAAAAAAACTGATGCTAAAAACGCGGATAATCGCAAAACTGCTAAAAATAATAGTGAAGCTAAGGAGGTAAAAATAACTGGGTATTTAAATTTAGCTGCCGATTTTGCTCATAATTTTACTGACGGTTTGGCTATTGGCGCCTCATACTTGGCCGGAAATAGTATCGGAATTGTAACAACAATTACGATATTATTGCACGAAGTACCTCATGAAATTGGAGATTTCGCCATCCTAATTAAGTCCGGTTGTACGAAACGCCAGGCAATGATGTTGCAATTAGTTACTGCGCTCGGCGCTATTGCTGGAACTGCACTAGCTTTACTGGGTGCTAGTGGTGAAGATGGTTCTACAGCATGGGTACTACCATTCACAGCAGGCGGATTTATATATATCGCAACTGTGAGTGTGCTTCCCGAATTGTTGGAGGAATCCACAAAATTAGGCCAGTCAATTAAGGAGATTATGGCTATGTTAATAGGCGTTGGTTTAATGATTTTCATCGCCAAATTAGAGTAAATATAATATTATAAATTGAAAAAAAAAAAAAACGTTATGCATTGAAATTTATTTAGTAGCATTTTTTTGTAAGCAAAATGCAAAGTAATAAATACTTTTTAATTAATTATTTTATTATAAATAAAATCTTTGTACCGAAATTATTTTTTTCAATCACTATAAATGTTTATTAAAATAAATAGTATAGTCGAGTTTTGTACAAATTATATTAATGTCAGGCAATTCACATAGCTTATTTGCCACAGGACAGCTTTATTTACAAGACAGCGGTAGTGTCGTTGTGGTTCTTCATTGCGCAAAAGATTTTATTTCGTTAAGGCAGTATTCGGCCTGTTCGACCGCGTCCAAGTTTTTACTATTCTTGSCAATCCTCCAAGCTAGCGAGCAAGCTTCTGTGGCTTTAGTTATTAAACCTTCCCGCAGATAAATTAACCCTAAATTGGCTTGCAAAACGCCTTCTTGTGCAGTATCGTTTAATTCTTTCACCAATTCTAAAGCATCCATTAAATACTTTTTGGCCAGTTCATATTCCTCAAGCTAAAAATGAAAGAATTGTTTCAATTAGGTATGTATGTATATTTAAAAAATTTGTAACTTGACAAAAGCTAAAGTGTATATATTTTTGAATTTTAAATGATTTACCGGTAAAGTTGATTTGGTTTAGAATGAACTTCAATATTTATATTAGTATTACTATTCCAACATTTAATTTAAGGTAGATATATAGATATAAATAGATACGAGCATATAAATAATCAAAATGACGATACGTGTTGAAATGCGAGTGATTGTCTGTCCGCCTGTCCGTCTGTGCAAGCGATACTTGGAGGATGGAGTCATGTGTAGAAGTTCGCGCAAGTGAGGAAAGTTTTCTGATCGCCATTCACTTGGGAGTGGCCAGAAACGATTCTTTTACATATGACTCAAGCAGCTCACGACTTCCGGTCCTTGACSAAGTATCCTTTGGGTAGCCTAAGAACATCCGTTTGAAGGTGAGCTAAAGTGAGAAGGCGAAACATTCAATGCATAGGGTTGTGCGCTGGGTTTGGAACCCGCCACGTAAAAAAAACCACCCCACTGACAACGCAACAACAGCCTCGGATGAGAGACCCCACTTTTGATGACGACTATGGCAAACGAAATAAGGACTGTGCAAGCGATAAGCGAAAAAAGGCTCTATTTAAACTCCACCTCGTTCCGGCCTTAAGACTTATAGGGAGTGGACCACGCGTTACGTGGCCCCATGTTGCCTGCGCAATACTCCGACACAAGCCTCTACTCAACCCGAGTGGCCAACAATGACCTCCACGGTCAGAAGCTTACACAGGCAACTTAGCTCCCACTCTGACTTGCTAATGTTAAAGCATCTAGGCTCGATGGAAGTTACCTCCGTTCCCACGGCAGTCGGGTCTACAAAAACCGGAACGGACCCGGATTTTTATCCGGCCAAGGACTGTCAACTCGGCAGAATTCTGCCGTTACAACAACAACAACATGGAAGTTACCTTACCAAGGTCCTCAACCTGTCATTGACTACTCTTTAAATACCCGATGTGTGGAAAATCGGAAGAGTGGGCCCACTACTGAAACCTGGGAAACCCGCCAACAAAGGGGAATCTTATCGCCCGATAACTCTCCTCTCCCCAGTAGTGAAGACACTTGAGGCCTTGCTACTCCCGACTTTCACACACCACCTGAGCCTAGCCAATCACTACCATGGATTCCGAAAAGTGCACAGCCCACCATAGCACTTGGCGGCATAAACGCTCAGATAATTCGTGACCTCAACCGGAAACCACCCTGTGAGAGAACGATCCTCGTAGCGTTGTACTTGTCAAAAGCTTTTGACACAGTCAACTACACAACGCTACTGCAGGACATCGAAAAAACTACGCTTCCTCCAGGGCTAAAGAGGTGGACCATGAATTATCTGAACGGTCTTCAGTCATCCGTACTATTTCYAGGTAAAACATCTTAACTGAGAAGAATTAAACAGGGAGTTCCGCAGGGTGGTGTCCTCTCCCCGCTACTGTTTTACTTCTACATCTCGAAACTCCCGCAACAACCAGAGRGGGTTTCCATAACCTCGTATGCCGATGACTGCACGATAATGACGTCGGGCGGTTAACAACTACCTCTCCGACCTTTATCGTTTCCTCACTGCACGACACTTTCCCCCACCAAATCCACAGCGACGATATTCACGAACTGGACGAAGGAGTATAGACTTGAACTTAATATTGCAGCTGATGGCGTCAAAATTCCGACTGTCAATAACCCTAAGATTTTAGGCGTAACCTTCGATAGTCTATGCTACTTCTCTCCTCATACGACCGCGATTATCGCCAAAGTACAGAGCCGCAACAAGATCCTCAAGTCGCTAGCCGGCAGCACATGGGGAAAAGATAAAGAAACGTTGTTGGCAACTTACAACGCAATCGATCGGTATAAGAATATCTATTTCACAGGTTGCCTTTTCGTCATATGCCTAATATATTAAATTTAAATTCGGTATATGTTTATGTTTATACATATATCACATGCCATATACATATGTATATCAGTGAGTTAATTTGATTGATTTTAATATAAATATCTCAGTTACGAAGTAATAATTTTTTGCAATCTTTACGAACTTTTATCGGATAACTAATGTTGAATTTTTTTCGCAAATTTTTTAAAAATAAAGTGTTACTAACACCTTTATGTGTTTTCCCGGCTCTGATCCGTACAAATTGAGAGAGTATAAAATGTTCAGTAACACCCAAACTTAGCTTTCTTCCTTGTTAAATAATAAGTTCTTGCACTACTTACATTAACACACGTCACACTAAGATTATTCAGGATGGTTATTGATTCCTCGTTTATTCGTCCGTAAATTTCAACTAATGAGTCATAAGCCTCTTGAAACGACTTTTTKGCATCAGAATATTTACCTAGTTTCATTTGCAATTGACCGAACCTAATAAGTCAAAAAGTTTTAATTAGCAAGTTTTAATGCGGATAAAAATGTTTTACCAATTTTTTGTTAGTCCCAGCAGTTCCTGGACATCCTTGTCATTCGGAGTTTGCTTCATATGTTCCTCAATTCTTTTCAAAGTCCATGTAAACCCTTGCATAGCTTTGTCTAATTCTCCTTGCAATTGAGCCATGTGAGCTAGTTTGGCGCTAATATGCATTACCTAAAAAAAGTTTTCTAAATTGACTTCTTAATAGAAATACATATGTATATAAACATAAATTCAAACACCATCGACTAAGTAAAAAATACCTGGGAGCTATTTTCGCCATAACCTTCACTGAACAATCTTTTCATTACTTCAGCAAACAATTTCTCTGCCTTTTTGAATTGTTCCCGCTCCATAGCAAGATTCGCCATGACATCATAAATATAGGTAACACCTTCCTTACTTTGCAAATCTTGAGCCATACGTAATGCCAGGTGCAACATTTGTTCTGCTTTATCAAATTCTTGTCGTTGTATACATAATACTGAACGTTTAATAGTAGTTATTAATTTATCCTCTGGCGTTTCTTCGTCTTTTGTTTTACCGAAGATTCCGAAGGAGAATGCACCACTGGCAACAATACCCATTTTTGAAAGCGCCATATAATCTGACCATTTATGTTGCTCCCGATTTTCTTCTTGTTGCGGTTCGTTCCATTTTTTCCATTTTTTTTGGTTTTGGTTGTTTATGTTTGTATTATTATCTATTTCAATACCATTTATTGTTTTTAATTTTAAAACTTTCCGCAAATTTTCTTCTTGTTGCGGTTCGTTTTTCCATTTTTTTTGGTTTTGGTTGTTTATGTTTGTATTATTATCTATTTCAATACCATTTATTGTTTTTAATTTTAAAACTTTCCGCAAATTTAGCACTTTTAAATTTCGAGCTAAATATTGCGAAATACTAAATACAATTACCGAATTCATTTTTAATTTTTTTGATGTATGATCAGCTGTTCGGAAAAGTTATCAAGGGAATAGAAACAGCTGATAGTGTTGGAACAACAAAAATATTCGATATGCGTGTACGTATGGATATGTAATACACTCAGCAAAATTTAATTACAATCTTAAAAAAACGAGCTACCAAACAATATATCCAAGATTATACCAGATAACAGGAAGAAACGCGATTAATTAACAAGGCTTAACCACACACCATGGTCTTATCCTATATCTGTTTCCACGTCAGTCGGTTGAGAAGTAATCTGACTGACAATTGTCAACTCAGTGGAAGTACCAAGCTAAAGTGTTGATTGTCTTTTCAATCCGTGTTACGTATATCCAACGGTGATGAAAAGGTATTCGTATTGGGTGTTATAGTACGTAACGATCTAGGACTTTTAGTCCGTTAATGATTATCAACTCGGCAGCTTCCCCCCTAATTAAGAACGTTTTCGGCCGCTACGACAAAAATCAGGAATATCTCCATCATGCGCTTGAGTTTAAAGAAGTACAGAGGTGATTTAGCTACAGACAGTTAACTTGAGGAATGTTTCAAAATAATAACAACAACAAAAGCCTKATGCGCTTCAGTTTAACTGAAATCGTTGGATTGTTTAAAAGTATTTTATAAATTACAWCCATATTAAATAAATTTACCGATTTTTGTATATTTATTTATAATACATTTAATTTTGGTATAAGTGGACACTAATGTATGATCTGAAGAGTAGTTTTACATGTTTCAATTTTTTAAAGTATTAATTCAATTTACAAACATTTGGTCTTATAGAACCATGCAAACGATCACTAATTTTTATATGCATGTGTTTATGGGTGTAGGGATGTRAGTGTATGTTTATTTAACGTTATGCTGAATTCGTAAAATAATAATGAATACAACTGAAATTGCAGCATAATGAAATATGTTAATAAATACATACATATGTTACAATAAGAACACATATCTAAAATTTATGCATGTTTGTACATATGACTACGTATGTGCAAGTATGCATATTCGAAATAAATAATAATCATAATCGTGGTTTTCTCCGTAGTCATAAACATAATCGTGAACATATAGTACTAACGTTTATTATCGTCACCTTAGTATTGACTTTCGTTGATATTCTCAACATTTTAATCGATCAGTTAGTATAAACACTGGATATATGCTGTTCATATTTTCCTCTTCCTTTTTATTTACAATTTACAAGCTTGTAAAGAATATCAGCTTCCTCCGCTCGCACTGATATATACGTTACCAGGTTGCTTGAAGCTTTTCTAATATAAGTTTATTTTTCTAAGAATGGTTTTGCGACACATATGACAGGTGCGTAAAGTTTCCGCACAACGTGAGCACGCACCATGACCACACAGAAAGGCGACATCACGAGTACGTTCCATACAAATGCTGCAGTAGTGTGTCTCCTCATATTCCTGTATTTTGTTTTCCAGATATCGCAAACGATCTGCTGAAGGTACACGCGTCTGATCAGAACTGAATACAACACGCCCACCGGCAGCAATGCGTCGCTCAATTTGAACGCCGCACCGCAGGCACTTCTTCATACGCAGGCCACATTCTTCGCAAGAAATTTGATGTTGGCACGGCTCGAATTTAATTAACTGTAACTTTTCATCACAAACTATGCACTCCTGTGGACCAATGTGGAAGGGCACATTAGTGGGTGGTGGCGGTGGAGGTGTCGCTTTGGGACTTGCTTTGGGCGCAGCAGCTCCTTCGATACGATTACGCGATACTTTGCGATTCCCAGTTAACTGTGTGACACCTGAAGTAGAAGGAATCGGCGTCATGTGTACGTACTGTTGAGCGTCCAACATATTGTTGCTGCCAACTATTGGATTAGTCTGAGCTTGTCGATCGGAGTTCAGCTTCTTTGCGCCTGCTGGTTCGTCAGTTGAGTTTTCAACATGATGAGTTGGAGTACTGCTATGAGGCGTTGGTATCTGATTAAAAGTATTCGGTTGCAAAACATCTGTGATGATATCAGCAGCATTGTTGCTATGCACTACTGTTGCAGAAGCTCCAGCTGTTGCACCATCATTATCTGTATTCAAATTAAGTGCCTGAATATTGTTTTCCATCTCACCAGCCGAATTTAAGGTTGCTGCTTCGTTAGTCGTTGACGATGACGATGCTGTGGCACCTATTTGACATTGATATCTCAAAATCAGCTGTTTCATATCTTTATTTGTAATCCAATCGAAAATGTTGGTGCCCTTATTGTTTTGTTCCACACGGCAGCCACAAGATGACAAGTAACATAGAATTGAATACATGAGACGATCATCGAGGATGTGTGAAAGATTATCATATATAGACCGTATTTTTGGTGAGTCTTCTCCAGACGGTTCGGCCGCCTGTTGCAAATTAGTTTTCTTAATAACACACAAGTGCATCGCATTGTCGCCATCTTCATCACGAGCCATAATATCGCAACGGAGCGAAACAAGACGTTCAATTACAGACGCATGCCCTTGAGAAACTGCCAAGAGAAATGGAGTTTGGCGTCGGTTATTTCGTATATCAATCTCTGCAAGCCCCTCCATTACCAGTGTTTCAACAACRCGCGCATGACCATTAAGAGCGGCTAAATGCAGAGCGGCAAAGCCATCATCCTTTTTAACATTGACTAGTTGTCGTGCCAGCTGCAGTATGCGTTTAGCCGCCACAACGTTGCCCTTAAGCGAAGCATGATGCAGCACATTAAATCCGCGATTATTTTTTATGAAAAAATCTAAGTTTGGCGCATTACAAAGCAGTTCTACCACTTCGGAGTTTTCCTTGCCGATGGCATCATGTAAAGCCGTATCACCATACGAATCTTGAATATTCACATCGGCTCCAAATTGCAGTAGTTCACGGACACAGTGTGGCGTCTTCTTGTGTGCGCATATATGCAATGCTGAGCAATGACTCGAATTGAGAAAATTTATATCAGCTCCATTTTGTAGTAAAACCCGCATAGTTTCGGGTTGATTACCGAAGGCAGCATAATGAAGTGCAGAATCGCCCTCTTTGTCTACAACATTCACATTGGCACCTTTGGCTATAAGATATTTAACTAAATCAACATAACCCTGATGGGCAGCCACTTGTACACAAGCTTTGCCTCCACTCATCACATTCACTTGTTCCGGATGGGCGTCCAAGTATTGTTTTACAAAATCTAAATGACCTTGAGCCGCCTCACGCACCAACTTATCGGCAACAGAAGTGCCAGACAGGCCCGATAGCGGTGTCATTACATGATCAATGCGCCTATGGCTCAGATCCATCATACTATTTGATCGTTCTGCCGCCGTAGCCAAAGGTGATCGTTCTAAATGTACGCACTTCGGGTTTAGTGTCCATTCGAATCCATCATCGAGTTGTTGAATACGCAAGTCGCCATCCGAATACACTTTTATCACTTTACATCGCTTTCCCAAAGCCTAAAATGATAGATTTGAATGTTGGCTTTTTAATGAAATTTTAAAGGACTATAATGAAAATCAATTCGATTTGTGCTAAAATAGTTTAGAATTTAAGAGTGATACAGTACTTATTTTTTTTAATTGAAATATTAATAATAAAAATAAAATAAATCAATTATTTAATTGGATTCGGTTGCGTTAGGTAAATATGTTGATATTTGTGAATCCACGCATAATTCAACTTGGACTGTAGAGTCCATTGTGGTGCTCAGAACTCCGAAGTACGGATCAAAACGACCGTCGTATACAAATTTATTGAGCTGGCTGATATATACTCTTTGAACCTAGACTTATAAGCCCGTGAAAGATATCTTCACTTATAAAAAGGTTCCATAGAACTTTGCTTTCGATCGTGCAATTTGTATGGCAATTTTCGTATTTGACAAAATGTCTTTAAACAATATTTCACGGAATAAAGAAATTTGGCCCAAAAGTTTTTTTCAAGAACATGTATTTAATCGTTTACTTGGTATGGCTTCTTGCGGGGAAAATGTCGTGTGCAAAATTATAGATCGATATTTCGAAAATGTGGGACTAGTTSGCGTATATACAGACTGACGTTGCTAAATTGACTTAGCTAGTTACTAGTGACCAGTTATATACTATTTATTTTAGCGTATCGGATTTTTTTTTCGAATGCTACAGACWGTGGTAAACTTAATATACCCTGTTCTGAGTATAATAATTTTTACATGCTTACATAACGCATAAGATCAATCCATTCACCATGTCCTTTTTGCAGCTGCTGCACTTTGTTCGCATCGTTTATAATAGTCACCAGATCGCCAACGCGAAAAGATATAACCTTGACCAGTGCAGCCGGATGAAATGTCCAACGATTAGGACAATTATCGTATTGTACTCTGAAAGTTGAATTTAAATTGGTATTATTTTCAATACATAAGCCAATCTATAAGACATTTACCGTATGTCACCCTTTTCGGTAATGCGATGGACGGCGCCCAATTTTGGTAACTGTTCTACCATTCGGGGGTTCCATCCACCATGACCTTGTTGCAGTTTCATCAAGGCATCAACATCAAGACACACCTTTACGCGATCACCGACTGAGAATGATGGTTTCCCAGTAGGCACCACAGGCTGTTGCTCTTCAGGTTGTCCTATAAAAAAAATTTTACTATGCACAACTCAACATATTTTTGTGAATATATTAGCTGCTTACCCAACACAGGCATATGGTCTTTGTAATAATAACCTCCAATTGACGGAAAAGTACACTTTAGGTCGACGTTACCCTTGTGACCTAAGCGATAGACATTCGTTGAACCAGTGACCCAAGAAACATTTGCTACACTTCTACAAGACTCATTGTCCCAACCACGAATTTCCATAACACGCCCGGTTTTGCCTTTCAGAATATATATAAAATATTAGTTGTACATAACATGCCTTCGTAAGTGCAAAAATATATATATATGTATATAATTTCGAAACATTACCTTCACCACCGTCCTGTTGGCCCCACTCCCAATCAGGGCCACGTACAACTTTGGCTCCAATGAATATACCTTTTAGTTGAATGCGTTTGGAATTCTTTCTTGGAGGCAGACGAACACTTAAAGTAAATTTAATTTGCACAATTAATAAACAAAAATTAAATCTCAGGCAACAATTTATATAGTTTTAAGCTTATTAAATTTATTCTAGACTTCAAGAGATCTCTACTATAAAACGAACTAAACCAACAAGTGTACAAAGTTGTTTCTTCTTAGATGAACCGTTTGCACTTCAATCTTTGATATTCTCTGAAGTGCCTTGAATAATACATTCTATATAGGTTTGTATTTCTTTTGCTTCGTTTTTTTTTTTTGTTTATTGTTATAAGTAATGTCATGCACCTGATCTGGGTGCCTGATCACAGGGGTATAGCCGGCAACAAGCTGGCTGACGACCTTGCCCGCTCTGCAGCCTCCAATAGTATGGTTGGGCCCGAACCGTTCACTGGGGTGGGTCCCCATACTGTGAAGGRGCTGCTCCGCAAGGAAGAAAGAGTGTGCAGAAAAAGGCATTGGCAGTGAGCGCATGGTATGCGACACGCCAGCTGCTAGTTGAGGGGTATAACTAGAAGAGGTTCAAATCGATAATAAACTTCCCAAGGGACAAACTTAGGCTTCTGGTCTCATTTTACACCGGCAACTGCAAGTTGAAAAGGCATTTATCTAACATGGGCCTATCATCTTGCGTTAACTGTCGGTTTTACAACAGGGAGCCTGAAACCCCGGAGCACCTGCTAATTAACTGCGTTGCAGTCTGTAGGCGCAGGTCAAAGGCCCTTGGATCTATGTATCTGGAAAGGGATCACATCGCCTMGTTAGCGCCCAGCAGGATATTGGATTTCATCAATATGCTGGGGCTAAGTGAGTCCCTGTGAGTTAGGAGAGGTCGCGGTGCATTCCTCAATTATTTTTATCTTATATGCATGTCTGCAAAGTGCAAAGGGCATTAAAAAAAAGATTAAGAAATAGTAAAATAATATACAATTGGAAAATAATAGATATTAAAATATGGTCAGGTGTAGCATTCAAAACATACCCAAGTGACGTAGGTGTTGTGTAACGTATAAATGTATGATCCGTATCGTGCAGATCAGCGCCGTAGCAATTAGCACAGAGATGGTAGTTAGAGCACTGAGCGCATTTAAAAACAATGCCAGCTATGCCGGGCTTTGAGCAGCCATCACAAACCACATTCGAATGACGTACGCCTAAAGTATATTAAGAAAAAATATAGTTAAATGTTTTACAATTATTCAAATATATTAAAACGGTAATGAGAAATTTTCTTTAAAGATTTTTTTCCCGAATCTTCATTCAGTAACGTATTGGATCTATAACTAAATAAAAACAAAAGAACAGCGTCAGCTTGGCGACCAAGAATTAATCAAACCAATTCTTTTCTTAGATTTTAATGTTCTGAATTAAAACTTATTAAAGTGTGGGCATTCTGCAACGACCAGAAAAATTGATAGGCAGAAGCCTGAGATTTTCTTTTTATTAAAGTATTGTGGAATAACTTCAAGCAAAAAAACCATTTTCAGCCACAGTGTTCGAATTCTTGAACATTTTTTGTTTATTCTTAAAACGAATACTGAAAAAATTCTTTCATAAATTCTGATGTGGAAATTCCCATATAATATTATATCTGAGCTCCATTTTGCTCTAAAATGGTATACATTTTTTATAACTAAGATCACAAGACATTCCTTTTTCAAAATTTAATAATAATTTAGTAAACGTCCGAGTTTTACTTTCTCTATCCTACTTACGAATTGCGCCGTTTTATCAATTCTCTATCTAAGTATTAAATTGAGAAATTGAAATGAACATTGTTTGCTACTTACCAACTTGGGCGTTATCAACGATAATCAAATCGTATTGATTTTGGTAACCAACACGATARTTTGTTCGGTGTCCAGAATCCCAATTGACTACAACTGTATTTTCTGGTGAGTGTGTCGATCCAGAGCGCCCAATCTCACAGACAGTGCCAACGTGACCTTCTCCGTTGTCTATCGGAAGATAATAGAGTTTTTGTAAGAATGATTTTAGAATTTCACATTCGAATAGGGCGGGGGATACGATCTATAGTAGTGCATATGTACAAAAGTATATGTATAATGGATATAAACGATGCTTAAATTGAGTGCATAGGCACACATACTAAAATATTTTTAATTACACGCACTGCTATTTATAAAAAATCGCGTTTCCAGCAGATGTTTTGTATCTACACGGCATAAAATTATTAGTAAATAAAGTCTATATACAAATACGCAGAGTACATTCGAAAACTCCAGCAATGCCAAGTGAACGCTACACACGGATTTCCGCTATATACAAACATACATAGGTATACCATTTGTATGTGTACGTACAGTTCCGATTGTACAATTGGCACCATCGAAAACACTTTGTAATTATTTCGTTGAAAATGATTTCAATTTGATAGTACTACAATGCTATTACTCAGTAATATTTCCCATTACTGGACATGAAAATACCCAAGCTATAGAAAATATACATTCATATTAATCTTGACTGAAGGCTTGCGGCCGTTATAGACGAGCCGACAATAATTTTTACATTTTTAATATAAATTGACAATTTATTGATTGAATAATAAAAAACAAGAACAAACGTTAACTTCGGCTGCACCGAAACATAATACCCTTCACAGATGCCTTTTTTATACCATAAACCTTTTTTTCTTTATTTTGCTTGGTCAGTTTAAATGGCAACTATATGCTATAGTGATCCGATTTGAACAATAAGTTTGAAGATTTAGCAGCAGCCGAGATAATAACACAATACATACAGCAATTTTATTTTTCATGACTGTATTCTTTATGTAAACGTTTTTCGTATTTCCTTCGCAATATCGGCTGATCTCAATTAGGGGTTTACTTAGACGAARAAATAAAACGATCTGCGGAAGTCTTTTAACAACACTTTTTTCTTATATGYAACAACTTTGCTTTAAATTTAAATACGAGTACATATGTATGTATATCCATATTGTATGTATATCCATATGTATATACGAATGTATATAAAAGTATTTTCGGAATTATTCAATATATCAAGGGGATAATCAACTTCCTTTTCGAGTTAATACCAAAGATAGTTTCAGTCGCAAYATTTTCCTCCATTTCACTTATTTATAACTCACAGTACATACAAAGAAAGTATTTTGTCATTCTGCCCTTCTGGACTCTTGTAAAAGTTGTGGTATCTGCCAACTAAACTCCAAAAATAGAAATGGGCGCGTGTTTGTATTTTTTTTTTTACACCGCGAGGATACGTCCCCAACAAAATGCAAATAAATGTGAGGCGTGATGCTTCAAATTGTTTGTGTTTTTACACGCTGGCACTTTTGAAAAACCCATACATACATATGTATATAAGCATATATCTGAGGTATGTCCAAATGTATGTTCATACAGTACGTACTATGGTGTGCAATGTCGCATGCTATTATCACTTGCATCCCTACCTCTAAATAGGCTGTAAGATCAATTGCAATGCATAAGAGAATACGGAAAACAATATTCTCAACTCTGAGCCTTTATAATTATAGAGAGAAATTTAACGACTTTATTTCTGTGGATAATCGTAACGTAGTTAAATTTAATAAAGATAACTGTACCGATACTAAGCATTTCTACGGAAGTATGTAATCATTGATACATGACAATTCCACAGGAACCTTATAAAAATGTATTATTCTATGCACTTTAATATTTTCTTGATTTTCCCAAAAAGGGTCATGCGGGACGAGATGCTCCGCATTCTCCTGGTTTGCGCTGGCATTGAGTCCAAACCAGACCCCCCGGAATTTTTCTACGGCGTTTACACTAGAAGACTTTATCTAAAGTATACCTCGGATAGATGTTATACATGGAATGGATGGAGCCATCTTTTAAGACACAGGGAGTGGACCGCAAGTTACGTGATATTCGTATATGAACTACCCGAGCGGTCGACAAACATCCCTACAGTTTCGAGGTAAAAACTCGTAGTATTAAATAGGGCATCCTGTAGGGTGGTGTTTTTTTCCCACTTTTACATTTCGAATCTCTTTAAACCAGCCGAGGGAATTACCAAGTTCTTCTTGTTGTTGAAGTTGCAGAAATTATTCCGGAATTAATTTCGAGGAATGCCGAGTTGGCAGTCCTTGTCCGGAAAAAATCCGGGTCTGTTCCGGTTACTTAGACCCAACCTCGTACGCTGATGGGAGCACGATATTGACGACGGGTAATGTACTGATGTAACGGCATCAACAATAACAACACACATACATACATACATCTTCGTAGCTATGGTGATCATTACAGCTCTTACTGCGTAGTATATATGTACATACTTATGTATATAAAAAATTGTATACATTAGATCTTAAATATAACATTGTTTACTATACCGGCCGATTCTGTACTCTGATACAGTATCAAGTCTCTAAATTTGAGATTTTAAGTTTTGACAATTTTTGAGACTTGAGACGATTTTGCTATTCTGTAAGAGACARTCACAAAATATATTATACTTTATTATTCAGAGATGTTTATACACTTGAATGAAAATAAATATGTCGATAACAAATATTAAATTTTCTATAACATAGTCAAAAAACATAATTATCAATAAAAATAAAAATATATGTTGACTTTGTTTCATAATATTAACGAAATTTATGTAAAATTTATTTATTTTTAACCTTTTCATGTTTGAGTTGCTTACAAAATAGAAAAGAAAACGACTATCGATTAATATCTATGGTGATCTCTATTCAGAATATTCAAAATGACAGACAAGAGTTCTTTCTGGTTTTGTGACTTGCTATCTACCAGGTCTCAAATTTGAGGCAATATTTTGAGACTAAAGCTAAAGACTGTTTMGTGAATAGTAACTAGTCACAAATTGAGATTTTACCACAAAATGTCTCAAATAAAGACTAGAGACTGATTACAGAATCCCGCTATTAATATATGTATAGTCGCGTGCTACATATGCATGTATATGGATTAAAATAAACTCTTGTATAAACGCACTAAATTTAAAAGTTTTGTATAGTATACTACAGATATACATAAATATGTACCTTACAAACGCAGAACATTAAACAGATGAATTAAAAGAAAAAACGCGGCCTTCAGTAAATAAGGTCATAAAGACTATACTAATATATATATATAATATAGGTTTAAGAAAAAAAATATTGATCTGAAAAAAATTAGCATTTGATTACTTTTTTTTTTAAATAATTGTAAATATATAAAAAATGTTACACTCATAAGAGTAACAAAGAAAGTTATATAATTCGGTTTTAGGGCCATTCGCAGTGTTTTTATTTCAAAATTGCAATTAAACATTATTTTACGGCATTTTCTAGTAATTAAACTCTGAGTGTGAAATATTAACTTATATTCTCTCCAAGTAATTTTTACATTTTGATTTCATTATGTTTATTGTCAAAGAAATTGTTCACTTGATACTTATCGATATTACAATAAAAGATAGACAGTATACCAAAAGAATCACCACACATTTTCATAACGAATTTTAATTGGTTTCGCTTAATTTGTTTACATTAAWATAATACTTTCATGTTTCGGATATTATGCATTATTAAGGAGCGTTAATGAAATATCAGTCTTGGACCCAGAAATGATATATGTATTATATTTTACATTTTCTTCTTGCAACTGTCGGATCTATGTAACCAGGACGTACGTTTTGTATCTGATTTCAGTGACGTTTTCTGTGGCACAAAACAACTGCGGGAGTAGCCAACTCTCTTTGTGGGTCTTTGAGAGCCTCTATTCGAAGATATAACACATTTTAATTTKCCATAATTTTTTCTACGTTATAATTCCATATGTATTTCATTTTATAATTTATTTATTTTTCGATGATTGTAAATGTTTTAGTTAAAACTTATTCTACTTTCTAAATTTTAGCATACCTTGATTTTGCCATATCCAATTTGGTCCTCGTACTACGCGTATACCAGGTTGTATAGCTGGTCGCATTTCCGTTCAATATACTTTAAGATATTGAATTTGTTTCAATTATGGAAGTATGTAACGATACGACCGACTTAATCCTGAAATAATGTAATTGAATATAAAAGCAGCCTWTATTTTTKGTCAATATATAGGTAGTTTAGACGTAAGATATATGTCACCGTATAGATATTTAAGTATTAAATATGTTTACAAACAATAATTTCGAAAACCTATGTTTTACGATTATTCGGTTATATTATTCAAACAATATCAAGATAAAGAGCTAACGTACATATGTATAAATAAAAGATAATGCAAAATCTA